AGTTGGGCCCTATGCGTTCCGAAATGTTGGTGTCGACGGGTTGGGGTGTGACGTAACCGTTGTCGGCGAAGTCATAGTAGACTTCGGCGTTGACGCTTTCGCGAGGGTTGTCATCGTCCATGGGGATGTCCATCGAGCAGTAGGGAAAGGGTCTGGCTTCCTCCGAGGCTCCGTCCACGTTCTGCTCGTCCTAGTCAGCTTCATCTGCTGCCGAAGCGAATGCTCGGTCCCCACAAAATCCGCCCGTGACATCTCATTCTGCTTCCAGGTTGTCCAGGTACGTCTGAAGTGTCAGACGCTCGTAGAAGATCACATCACGTGCTGCCACTGTTTCCTTCGTGTGGACGTCGAAAATCTTCCACGCGTTGTAGTGTTTTTCAATGTCCAGGTGTAGCCCCCACTATGCGCGTTGGGAGAATCGGCCGGCTCGTGCAGCTGGGGGTCGGTACTGTACCATGCAACCGAACACTCGTAACATTTTTGTGCTGCCCAATATTCTTGTGCACAGTAGATGCGGTGATGGGTTGTTCAGGAGCGATGATGACAAGAGCAAGTTGTGCAGCATTACAGCGTGGTCCATCGTTTCGGGCCACTGGTGGTTGGGTAGCCGCATGCCACGTAGTAGCTTGCGCATGGTGTCTAGAGGGTCCTGTTCATTCTTTCTGCCACGCCATGTTGCTGATGGGCGTAGGGAAGCGAGATGAGTCGCTTGATGCCTCTCTGTGCCAGGTAGTGCTTGAACCTCTGTGACTGATATTCTCCTCCCCCGTCTGACTGAAGCTTTTTTGTTTCACTCCCGATTCCCCTTCCGCTACTGGAAGCCAAGCAACGAAGGCTTCGAAAGCCATGTCGCGGCTCGGAAGGTTGAGGTGCTAGACATATTGGGTGGCGGCGTCGATGAACGTGATGACGTAGTTGTAGGCTCCTTGTCCGCTTTCACGGTTGAACAATATGTCACTGTAAACCTTCTCCAGTGGTGCATATGCAGGAGCGCTCGGGTTGTGGTGGGAGACGAACGGCTGATGGGGTAAGTCGGCTTCGGGGCAGGTAAAGCATGTCAAGTAGTAGTAGTGAGTCTTTGTCAAGTACTCCTGCCCTTATCGTGTTGTTTAACGTTGTGTTGCTCGGGTGTCCCATTCTTGCGTGCCAGATTGATTCGCTGGCGTGATGTCCGGGTGAACGCCTGTATAAGTCGGAGTTGGAGTAAAAGCCTGCGGCGAAATTGGCGCTTTTGTGGACTTCGCGTGGAGTTGGAGTCAGCTGTTGCACGGGAGTCGGCGGAGTGTCGTCCATGGAGAGTGGTGATGTTGAGGACCCGCGATTGGTGTCGTAGTCGGTGTTGTCGCTGCTGCTGCTGGTGTTGTTTCTGCTGCTGCCGTTGTTGTCTCTACTGCTGCCGGTATTGTCTCTGATGCTACCGATGTTGTCTCTGCTGCTGCCGGTGTTGTCTCTGCTGCTGCCGGTGTTGTCTATGCTGCTGCCGGTGTTGTCTCTGCTGCTGCCGTTGTTGTCTCTGCTGGATTGTTGCTAACGCCCTCGTCCGTTCTATTTCAGGTATAGTGTACGAGTACCAGAAGCCTCCCGGACTGAAGTCGGGGTCGAGATCTGACGGGTGTGTCCAAGAGGTGAAGTTGACGATTCCGTCGCTGTCGGCGGTGCCTTGATCAGGAACGAAGTCGAGGACAAAGACGTTTTTCTTCAGCACTGCCTTCCCGATGTAAAGTCCACCCCTTCCATTGTACAACTTGAACTCCTGTGTGGTGCTGTCAGCTTCGAGATGGATTTCCTTCGCCATCAGTTGACTGACGCTGAGTAAGTTGTAGCCGAGTCCTTCTGCGATTAAAACCTTTGACATTTGCAGAATAACGTTGGTTTCTCGAGACTAAAGTTGAACTACTCCTTGTCCTCGTGTGCGCAGGTTCTGGTTGTTGGCGACAGTGATCATGAGTTCACGATGAAGCTGCTGCTCACGTTGTACGAAGCGACCCGAAGAGTACATGTGCTGTCCGCAGCAGCTGTCTAGGAACCAAGTATCCGTCCCGGATGGCTCGCTTTGGGCAATGGCTGCATACGTCGGGTTCGGCTCCAATGATTCATGGCGAGGGGTGCTTTTGTCGAGCTGTTCTTCTGGTGAGTAGTACGGTGGCGATCTGGTGATGCCAGAATCTTTGTTCTTGCCATGCAACTCACGATGTTTCTTGTGCCTTGTGCAGGTTTTGTCGTCGATGTCGTTGAGGACTGTACTTGATTGGTGGGATGCGCCTGTATAAAAGCAACTTGACTGCTTGAAGGCCGGATTTGGCGTTGCAGCGGCGTTGACTGGTGCTGATTCGGGCAGTGAGTGCGAGGGTGTCCAGACGTCTTGCAAAGATGGCAGAACGGCGGTACGTATTGTTGAGCTTGATGTTTGTTCTGTCAGTTGTTGTTGTTATTGTAACGCCGTTGAGTGTGAAACGCGAACTTAGGTGCTGACGCTCTTTTCTTGTGTCGTTCTTCGTGTAGGTCCATGTCCTGCTGCTCAGCGTGTATCTCAGCGCAGAGGGCTGCTTCGGAGAATGGCTCGAGTGGAGCGCCAATGAGGACCGAGGCCAGTGATGACGACTGTAACGAAGGCTTCTTCAGATATCGATTCACCGCATCGAAGAAGTCTGTCGCGTAGTCCGCGACAACGGCTGATATACGCCATTCCCTTTTCTCCTGGTTTCATTTCCACTGTTGTCAGTTGTGCCATGAGACGACTCTGATTAACGCTGTATGTTGCCTGATACTGGTTCTTCAGCTCGGCGGAGTTGCCGTATCCACGATAAGACCGGATGTTCTACTGCTCGTTCGGTGTTATGTTGCATAGGAGTATTGTATACGCCATCAGCAACTGATACGTATACTGCTGCTTGTCGTTCTGTGTTCCGTGCATTGGGTATGGCAGGGAACCGTCAAAGAATCCGAGGATTTGCATGCCTTCCATCATCAGCTCGAACTCAAATGACCAGGCATAAAAATCTTTGCCATCGAAAGGCGTCGATGTCTGCAGTTTCAAAACGTGTGCAAACTGCGATTGAACCTGAAGCGCGTCCAATGTCTTTTCTTGTCCATGTGAAGGCTGTTGATGTGGCATGAAGCTGATGGAACCACATTGAAGCTCGTACGGAGCAAAGGTAGGTTGCTGCTGGTTTCCTCGCGCATAGGATGAGCCCTCAAGGCTCATAGGAGTGACGCCATTGTTGTTGTCGCTCTTGTTTGATTGCGCAGGTGCTGCTCGTAGAAGGACATGAAGGAGAAGAATTTCTCCATCATGCTTGGGTCGAAGCCTGTTACCTGGTTCGCAGGAGTTTCAGTAGAATCAGCAGATGGTCTTGTCGCTGTGCCTCCTTCTGTGTGTAGGCCAGAGGCTGGAGGTGGAGTAGGAGTGGTACCAGGAGAGCCGTTAGAGGAGCTTCTCTCCTTCTGTGTTGCCATGCCTTCTGTTGTTGTAGGAGTGTTAATGAAGTTGAATCTTGCCTTGTGAGCTCTCATACCATGTTGGGCTGAGAAAAGCCCATAGGATCTTTTCAAGGCTAAGACCCTGAGTAGGAATGTTGTATTGCGGAAGCGTACTTAGTGAACTGTTGAACCAATTTGCCCTAGTGTGTGAGAGCAAGAGATTGATTATAGCAAAGTCATATAAAGGCTTCTATAAGATTACAAGGAATATGAAAAGGTGCAACTAACGGTTTTACTGTTGCTGTTGCGGTTCGACACAGCGACGACTCGGGCAACTGCTCAATACCGAGTCAGTTGTTTGTCGTTGCTGTCGCGCTGTATTTCGTCGAGTCAAAGGTCGCTGACCTTTGACCTTCGCGTAACCTCCAGCTGTTACTTTCTGTCAACCTCCTCGGTTGACTCGCTGTTGCTTCGCTGTGATTCGCCTCGTTTGCAGTTTATTGTTTCGACACAACAGAAGCGTTAAGTTACTTGTTTCCAATAGCTTATACCGTAAACTCAATCATAAGCGCCTCCTTCAAAAATACGATTTTATTATAAGTGCATATGCGTTACTATCTGGGGCCATACGGTATCATGAAATGGTTACCTAGGATAAGCTCAGGACCCAGGCTTTCACATTTCATTCGATGACAAGCCCCCCCTTTCTCCAATCCCCCCTTCTCTCCCCCCTCCCCCCCCCCAAGAAAAAAGCCAAACAAGTGTTGAGCCCCCATGGCGTCTATCTGGGGAAATAGGGTATCTTAAAACTGATCCATGCTTATCAGTAGATTTACTTGTGAAAGAACACCTCGCTGGCTATGTACTACCGTATCACCCCGTATATAAGCGCATGCCTATTAAAAGCGCATGCGCTTATATCTGGAGCAATGCGCTTATGGCCGATCCTCATTTATAAGCGCACCCCTTATAAAACCCTGATATATTATCAACGCATGTGTAATTTTAATTTTAAATCCTTGGTAACGAATTTCTATTTTGCAGCGAGGCCATAACCATTTTCGCTTAGGTTGACTTCCGAGGACCTCACATCCTGCGCGTCCAGTCAGCACGAGCTGGCACGCCCTCAAAGTGAGGTGTTACACTGTACTTTGCCTCTGTGCGCCGGCAATGAATCGCTCGCGCGCGATTCTAATCTGTGACACTTTACAATTTCGATTCGATTGAAATCGCAGGGATGAGATGTACAATTTGGTGTTTTTAAATTATAAATCTGTATTTGCCATTTCATAAGCGCATGCGCTTATATTTTTTACTCAATTATAAGCGCACCCCCCCTAAAAAACACTGTTTTATTATAACCGCAGGTACGCTTATATCCGGGGTAATACGGTACATGAATACATAAAAACGAAACACACACATGCACTCACATACACAAACACAGAAAAAAAAAAAAAAAAAAACAGACCATAATACAGCAGAGGTCTAATGGTAAACGCAGCAAGGATCCATCCTAGCAATTACATCTCTGGCACAGTATCCACTAAAGGGTGATTGACAAGGAACAGCTGCAGAGTTCAGCGTACTGACACCATGGCTCCAAACTGGGGCTGCATTGGTATTGGAAGCATGCGCCTGCAAAGGGGTGCTCACCCATAGGAGGCACTCATGTGTATTGAGCAGCCACACAAAGCTGCAATCAAAAGGCAGCAATGAGAAGCATTGGAGTGGAGATATTAATTGCCACAGCACATGCCGAAAGTGCATAGCAGTGCAAGCATTTAGACCAGTACACCCCTCGCAATAGAGAAGCTATAGATGTGCCCATACTTACACCATCAATGTTGCGCAGGGAATCGCGGAAGGAGATCCAGGGGTTGAGCCTGCAGAGGTCCACCATGGTGGCTCCATTGGATGCCGCCACCTGCTTGAAGTCCACCACTCGGCCGATCCGTATCTCCTTCACACATCTCGGCTTGGTCTTGGCTGGGTTGCGCTCCACACAGAGAGCGCGGAACGCAAGGAGGCGAGAGGAGCAGCTAACACCGGGGTTGAGCTGCTGCAGGCTTTCCTCGGTGATGCTGAGAAACTGAGCCACGGACGAGCATGTGTCGGCCTGTGGGAGGGAAACCAAAGGGGAAATTGGTAGGGAGAGGATTTGAGATGGAAAGAGGTGGCCAAAAGGGGGTGAAAGAAGACGAAGTGGCATGCGGTCTTTCTGCTGCTTGGGCGAAAGATGGTCAGGCGAAGTGTGAAGGGTGAAGAAGAATCACAGCACATGTCAGCACATGGTGGCACATCTCATACACGATTGCATGGGATGCTCCCAGAGCAGGAGCAACATGTGAGACTCACTGGCTGGGTGTAGTAGAAGGCAGAGCAGGCTGGCAGAAGCTCTTTCACCACGAGCTCGTGACCCTGAGGAAGGAGAGCAGAGCAGTTGATACCCTGGAGGGTAAGGGGCAGTTGGAGAGTGAAAGGGTGAGGGAGAGGGAGACAGTGGAGTAGAGGGACAGAGAGAGAGGATGAGAGAGGAAGAAGGTGAGCGAGAGGTGAGGTGGAAAGAGTGGGAGAGGGTGAGAGAGCAAGAGAGGGTGAAAGAGGGTGGAAGGGAGATATGGCACAGAATCAAGAAACGGCTTGACATGCTCAAAAGATGCACACAGGCTTGCAGGAATTGAGATGATATGGCGCAGCATGTGGCAGGTCTCACCGGGTTCATGTGGGTGAACTTTGAGACCTGGCACATGCCGTGGGTTTCAAGGCACCTCCAATCAGACCCACGGGACTCACCTTGTTCATGGCGGTGAACTGCTGCAGCGTGAGGCCATACATGCTGTACACGTCCTTGCACCTCCAGGTGCTGCCCGCGACTGTGATGGACGAAATGGGCTCCCAACCCTGATCTGCACACGCTCAACGGGAAGGGTGGTGATGCCATGTACGTGGCCAGCTATTGGTGAAAACAACACAGCGACACATTTGATCCACGAAACACACAGCTTGAGTTTCCACGTGTAAAGTGTTCGCAACCACTATTGTCTGAAGCGGTTGCCACAGTTGTAACCATGAGAGCACACGACAATTGTAACAATGAGAGCGCACCACAGTTGTTTGTAACCATGAGAGCGCACCACAGTTGTTTGTAACCATGAGAGCGCACCACAGTTGTTTGTAACCATGAGAGCGCACCACAGTTGTTTGTAACCATGAGAGCGCACCACAGTTGTTTGTAACCATGAGAGCGCACCACAGTTGTTTGTAACCATGAGAGCGCACCACAGTTGTTTGTAACCATGAGAGCGCACCACAGTTGTTTGTAACCATGAGAGCGCACCACAGTTGTTTGTAACCATGAGAGCGCACCACAGTTGTTTGTAACCATGAGAGCGCACCACAGTTGTTTGTAACCATGAGAGCGCACCACAGTTGTTTGTAACCATGAGAGCGCACCACAGTTGTTTGTAACCATGAGAGCGCACCACAGTTGTTTGTAACCATGAGAGCGCACCACAGTTGTTTGTAACCATGAGAGCGCACCACAGTTGTTTGTAACCATGAGAGCGCACCACAGTTGCTTGTAACCATGAGAGCGCACCACAGTTGTTTGTAACCATGAGAGCTCACCACAGTTGTAGCCGTGAGAGCGCACCACAGTTGTAGCCGTCAGAGAACACCAAAGTTGTAACCACAAGAGCTTACCACAGTAGCGGCCATGAGAGCGGTGGTTGGGCAGACAGACGCAGGTCCTGTCCTCGGTGCCGCGGTCGATGCACGTGCCCACCAAGCACCCGTTGACTCTGTCGTAGCCACACACGCCGGCTGGCGGGGGAAACACACAAGGGGCAGAGAATAGCAGGCAGTGGGGTGGCAAGGAGGATACGATTGGAGGATCCATGGGGCAGGAAAGGGCAGAGAAGACGAGGAGAATCGCTGCTGCCAGTACTGAAATGCTTTTGATCAGGCAACAGTGCTTCCCAAGGGCACAGGCGATGCCAGCCCCAACACAGCCCCCTCGCGTGGGAACCATATCGGTTTTGGCGAGAATGGAGGTGGCATGGCGAACGACGGTATCGGGGCTTACTGCTTGAACTCTCTTCGTCGGGGTACTCAGAAGGAGGTGTGGTGTCGTCGCTGGGAGGAGGTGTGGTGTCGTCGCTGGGAGGAGGTGTAGCGTATCGGGCAGCCACACAAAGCTGCAATAGAAGATGCACCAGATGCAATGGAACACACAGGAGTCAAGGAACGGAATCATTAGAAGCTACAAATCATGCTGGCAAATGGGAATTCATTCATCTTACAAAATATGAGTTGTATATGAAATATGTATCCACCAGCAATGCACAATCAGCCACTACTCAGTCATTTGCCTTGAACTTACACCATCAATGTCGCGCTGGGAATCGCGGAAGGAGATCCAGGGGTTGAGCCTGCAGAGGTCCACCATGGTGGCTCCATGGGATGCCGCCACCTGCTTGAAGTCCACCACTCGGCCGATCTGTATCACATTCTCACAGGTCGGCCTGCCCTTGGCTGGGTTGCGCTCCACACAGAGAGAGCGGAACGCAAGGAGGCGAGAGGAGCAGTTAACACCGGGGTTGAGCTGCTGCAGGCTTTCCTCGGTGATGTCGAGAAACTGAGCCACGGACGAGCATGTGTCTTCCTGTGGAAGCGGAAGGGAAGGGGTTGATGGTAGGGAGAGGGGGGGGGGGGAGGGGTGGGGGTGGTGTGAGAAGGAAAGAGGTGGTCAAAGGGGGTGAAGGAAGATGCAGCAACACAGAGGTAGTGGAACGCTAAGAACGCTAAGGTGCAAAAAGGACCGAGTAGCACGTGGACTTCCTGCTTGGGCGAAGGATGGTCAGGCGAAGAGTGAAGGGGAAAGAGGACGCACAGCACATGGCAGCACATGGTGGCAGTGGTGGCATCCCCGATTCCCTGCTGTCCATAGGTGATGCATGGGATGCTCCCATAGCAGGAGCAACATGTCAGACTCACAGGCTGGGTGTAGTAGAAGGCAGAGCAAGCTGGCAGAAGCTCTTTCACCACTAGCTCGCGACCCTGAGGAAGGAGAGAAGAGCAGTCGATACCCTGGAAGGGAAGGGGCAGTGAGAGAGGGAGAGGGTGAGAGAGATGGAGACAGTGGAGCAGAGGGAGAGAGAGAGGGGCATTCCAGCTAGGAAATCATGAGAACACACACGAAATAATGAGTCACTTTTGAGAAATCTCAAAAGTGAGGAAGAGAGGGCACAGGAGGCCCTTAAGTAGGCTCAGAGGAAAAGGGCAGAGGGCAGAGGAAGAGGGCTGAGTGCCAAGGCCTTCTCTCTCTCGCTCTCTCCACCGCCGAAAATGAGAACTCACACGAGATGCTCAATTAAGGCACACAGGCTTGCAGGAATCGAGATGGTATGGCTTGCACGCAGCATGTTGCAGGTCTCACCGGGTTCATATCGGTGAACTGCTCCAGCGTGAGGCCATACATGCTGTATACATCCTTGCACCTCCAGTCGCTGCCTTGGACAGTGATGGACGAAATGGGTTCCCAATCCTGATCTGCCATGGAAGAAAAATACACACCTTGAGTTTCAATGCGTGAACATATGTTTGCAGTATAGACCATTGTCAGGAGCGTTGCGAGCAGCGAGAGAGCTTACCACAGGAGCGGCCATGAGAGCTTACAACAGGAGCGGCCATGAGAGCTTACCACAGTAGCGGCCATGAGAGCTTACCACAGGAGCGGCCATGAGAGCTTACCACAGGAGCGGCCATGAGAGCTTACCACAGGAGCGGTCATGAGAGCTTACCACAGGAGCGGCCATGAGAGCTTACCACAGGAGCGGCCATGAGAGCTTACCACAGGAGCGGCCATGAGAGCTTACCACAGGAGCGGCCATGAGAGCTTACCACAGTAGCGGCCATGAGAGCTTACCACAGGAGCGGCCATGAGAGCTTACCACAGGAGCGGCCATGAGAGCTTACCACAGTAGCGGCCATGAGAGCTTACCACAGGAGCGGCCATGAGAGCTTACCACAGGAGCGGCCATGAGAGCTTACCACAGGAGCGGTCATGAGAGCTTACCACAGGAGCGGCCATGAGAGCTTACCACAGGAGCGGCCATGAGAGCTTACCACAGGAGCGGCCATGAGAGCTTACCACAGGAGCGGCCATGAGAGCTTACCACAGTAGCGGCCATGAGAGCTTACCACAGTAGCGGCCATGAGAGCTTACCACAGTAGCGGCCATGAGAGCTTACCACAGGAGCGGCCATGAGAGCTTACCACAGGAGCTGCCATGAGAGCTTACCACAGGAGCGGCCATGAGAGCTTACCACAGGAGCGGCCATGAGAGCTTACCACAGGAGCGGCCATGAGAGCTTACCACAGTAGCTGCCATGAGAGCTTACCACAGTAGCGGCCATGAGAGCGGTGGTTGGGCAGACAGACGCAGGTCCTGTCCTCGGTGCCACGGTCGATGCACGTGCCCACCAAGCACCCGTTGACTCTGTCGTAGCCACACACGCCGGCTGGCGGGGGAAACACACAAGGAGCAGAGGAGGGTAAGCACAGGAGTCGCAAGGAGGATAACATTGGAGGATCCGTGGGGCAGGAAAGGGCAGAGAAGACGAGGAGCATCGCTGCTGCCAGAGTTGAAATGCTTTTGATCAGGCAACAGTGCTTCCCAGGGGCACAGGCGATGCCAGCCCCAACACAGCTCCCTCGCGTGGGAACCATATCGGTTTGGGCGAGAATGGAGGTGTCATGGCGAACGACGGTATTGGGGCTTACTGCTTGAACTCTCTTCGTCGGGGTACTCAGAAGGAGGTGATGTGGTGTCGTCGCTGGGAGGAGGTGTGGTGTCGTCGCTGGGAGGTGGTGTGGTGTCGTCGCTGGGAGGAGGTGTGGTGTCGTCGCTGGCAGGTGGTGTGGTGTCGTCGCTGGGAGGTGGTGTGGTGTCGTCGCTGGGAGGAGGTGTGGTGTCGTCGCTGGGAGGTGGTGTGGTGTCGTCGCTGGGAGGAGGTGTGGTGTCGTCGCTGGGAGGTGGTGTGGTGTCGTCGCTGGGAGGAGGTGTGGTGTCGTCGCTGGGAGGTGGTGTGGTGTCGTCGCTGGGAGGAGGTGTGGTGTCGTCGCTGGGAGGTGGTGTGGTGTCGTCGCTGGGAGGTGGTGTGGTGTCGTCGCTGGGAGGAGGTGTGGTGTCGTCGCTGGGAGGAGGTGTAGCGTATCGGGCAGCCACACAAAGCTGCAATAGAAGATGCACCAGATGCAATGGAACACACAGGAGTCAAGGAACGGAATCATTAGAAGCTACAAATCATGCTGGCAAATGGGAATTCATTCATCTTACAAAATATGAGTTGTATATGAAATATGTATCCACCAGCAATGCACAATCAGCCACTACTCAGTCATTTGCCTTGAACTTACACCATCAATGTCGCGCTGGGAATCGCGGAAGGAGATCCAGGGGTTGAGCCTGCAGAGGTCCACCATGGTGGCTCCATGGGATGCCGCCACCTGCTTGAAGTCCACCACTCGGCCGATCTGTATCACATTCTCACAGGTCGGCCTGCCCTTGGCTGGGTTGCGCTCCACACAGAGAGAGCGGAACGCAAGGAGGCGAGAGGAGCAGTTAACACCGGGGTTGAGCTGCTGCAGGCTTTCCTCGGTGATGTCGAGAAACTGAGCCACGGACGAGCATGTGTCTTCCTGTGGAAGCGGAAGGGAAGGGGTTGATGGTAGGGAGAGGGGGGGGGGGGGGGAGGGGTGGGGGTGGTGTGAGAAGGAAAGAGGTGGTCAAAGGGGGTGAAGGAAGATGCAGCAACACAGAGGTAGTGGAACGCTAAGAACGCTAAGGTGCAAAAAGGACCGAGTAGCACGTGGACTTCCTGCTTGGGCGAAGGATGGTCAGGCGAAGAGTGAAGGGGAAAGAGGACGCACAGCACATGGCAGCACATGGTGGCAGTGGTGGCATCCCCGATTCCCTGCTGTCCATAGGTGATGCATGGGATGCTCCCATAGCAGGAGCAACATGTCAGACTCACAGGCTGGGTGTAGTAGAAGGCAGAGCAAGCTGGCAGAAGCTCTTTCACCACTAGCTCGCGACCCTGAGGAAGGAGAGAAGAGCAGTCGATACCCTGGAAGGGAAGGGGCAGTGAGAGAGGGAGAGGGTGAGAGAGATGGAGACAGTGGAGCAGAGGGAGAGAGAGAGGGGCATTCCAGCTAGGAAATCATGAGAACACACACGAAATAATGAGTCACTTTTGAGAATTCTCAAAAGTGAGGAAGAGAGGGCACAGGAGGCCCTTAAGTAGGCTCAGAGGAAGAGGGCAGAGGGCAGAGGAAGAGGGCTGAGTGCCAAGGCCTTCTCTCTCTCGCTCTCTCCACCGCCGAAAATGAGAACTCACACGAGATGCTCAATTAAGGCACACAGGCTTGCAGGAATCGAGATGGTATGGCTTGCACGCAGCATGTTGCAGGTCTCACCGGGTTCATATCGGTGAACTGCTCCAGCGTGAGGCCATACATGCTGTATACATCCTTGCACCTCCAGTCGCTGCCTTGGACAGTGATGGACGAAATGGGTTCCCAATCCTGATCTGCCATGGAAGAAAAATACACACCTTGAGTTTCAATGCGTGAACATATGTTTGCAGTATAGACCATTGTCAGGAGCGTTGCGAGCAGCGAGAGAGCTTACCACAGGAGCGGCCATGAGAGCTTACCACAGTAGCGGCCATGAGAGCTTACCACAGTAGCGGCCATGAGAGCGGTGGTTGGGCAGACAGACGCAGGTCCTGTCCTCGGTGCCACGGTCGATGCACGTGCCCACCAAGCACCCGTTGACTCTGTCGTAGCCACACACGCCGGCTGGCGGGGGAAACACACAAGGAGCAGAGGAGGGTAAGCACAGGAGTCGCAAGGAGGATAACATTGGGGGATCCGTGGGGCAGGAAAGGGCAGAGAAGACGAGGAGCATCGCTGCTGCCAGTACTGAAATGCTTTGATCAGCAAGGGTGCTTCCCAGGGCACAAGCGATGCCAGCCCCAACACAGCCCCCTCGCATGGGAACCAGATCGATTTGGGTGAGAATGAATAATGGGATGGCGAACAACCGCACTGGGGCTTACTGCTTGAACTCTCTGCGTCGGGGTATTCAGAAGGAGCTTTGATTTTGCTGCCAGGAGCTTTGGTGTTGCTGTCAGCAGCGTTGGTATTGCCGTCAGTAGCTTTGGTGTTGCCGTCAGCAGCGTTGGCGTTGCCGTCAGCAGCTTTGGTGTTGCTGTCAGCAGCTTTGGTGTTGCCCTCAGCAGCGTTGGTGTTGCTGTCAGCAGCTTTGGTGTTGCTGTCAGCAGCTTTGGTGTTGCCGTCAGCAGCGTTGGTGTTGCTGTCAGCAGCGTTGGTGTTGCTGTCAGCAGCGTTGGTGTTGCTGTCAGCAGCGTTGGTGTTGCTGTCAGCAGCGTTGGTGTTGCTGTCAGCAGCTTTGGTGTTGCTGTCAGCAGCTTTGGTGTTGCTGTCAGCAGCTTTGGTGTTGCTGTCAGCAGCTTTGGTGTTGCTGTCAGCAGCTTTGGTGTTGCTGTCAGCAGCTTTGGTGTTGCTGACAGGAGTTCTGCTGCTGGTGGCGCCAGTGATGCAGCGGGCGGACTTGACTGCCTTGCGGAGGGGCTTGGACCTGCGCACGGGGAGAACCATGAGAGCAGGCCGCTGGTCAGAACGGCGGATGAAGGAATGGCGTTAAGCAGCTAGATGGAGAACGAGGGACTCACCTCTGCTTGCCTTGCGCGACAGTGTCCACCGCCTTCCCCGTGCACTTGGAGCTCTGGAAGAACTGAATCGCCGTGCAACCCGCCTCGCCTTCCTTCTGCCACGACACCTGCACTCTCCTCGTCTTGCCGGCTGGAATGGCGGCACAGCGGAGAGCGTTGAAGGTGAAAGAGCGGCCGTTGATCGTCATCCGCGTGCCAACCACTTGGTCATCCTCGCTCGCCGACTTACTCGATGCTGCGTCTGCTGCTTGCGATGACGCCCGCAGGGGACTCGCTGCCAGGATGGGAGCACGTGAAATGCGAAGGACGGGGCGAGCGGGCGTGAGGTGCACTCAGTGCGCCGATTTGCACTCAGTGCGCCGATTTGCACTCAGTCTCGTGTCCGTGAGGTGCATTTGAACGTGCGAGCAAGATGGCGATGCGAGGATGGGTACATGGGTGCATGAGCGCGTGAGCGCACAAATATGATGCGGCGTAACAACGGTGACGGCCATGACGACTCGTATGATCAGATGTAAGGTGGGTACACGGGGTGGAATGAGCGCACAAAGACAATGTGCCGTACCAGCGATGACGACTATGACGGCGAGCAGCGCAAGCACTGCCTTGCCCTTCCCCATGCTGCTGCCGCGTGCCGCGTGCCGCGCGACCGACTCTTCGCTCGTGACGGCCGTAGTACCGATGTTTGAAGGGCTCGCGAGAGGACTCTCGGAGAAGATTTTGGCTGGAAAATAGCGCGAAGATGGTGCAGCTAATCAATGAAAGCTGGAAGAGCGCCGGAGAAAGCTGTAAGATTTACAGCACTGGCAGGTTTGGTGCTAAATGCAGTTATGATACTAGTAGTGAAGAGGGCAATCCCTCGCGGATCATAATATACGACAGCAGCTTCAGTGTGACCGCAGAATGCGCGAGGCGGGGACCCCTGTGACTGGAGATGCACGCCTTGCCCGTCATGGGCGCCAAGCTTTGGGCTGTACCCATCGCTAGAAAGTAGTCGCAGAGAACGCGTTCCGGAAACACTTCGGCGTGCCGGAGCTTCCGTGGGGTGGGATGCTAGCGAGTAATTTGGGGGGATTGAATTGGGTCATGAAGATGCCATTCTCGCATCTTACGAGTGACTGAAATATATTAATCTGGTGTGGAATGGTCTAAAGCGGTGAAAACCGAAAACCGTTTTGAACGCGGTAAGGTACCGCGTCAGGATCTCTAATCGAATAGAAAAGATCCGCATTATTGAAAGTGAAGTCAAGGGAGACTCGCGATATTAACTGCTCCCACTTATGATCGTGAATGCATTGGCTTCATAGTGCATACATACAAACGACTTTAATTTCGAATTCCCCGTTCTTAAACCTCTTCGGTTTCAATTTCTTCAGTCCCGCATCAGCACGATGTGTGTGTGTGAGCGTTTAACACTATATCATGGTATTATATTCCACTTAAGGAATGTCAACCCAGCCACACCCCCTTACCCCCCTGTCAAGAATCAAAGTGTTGGTTCATTGATGTGGGTTGGGGTACATATAACAAACCCTAACATCTTTACCCCCTATGACAAACCTCACTACAGGCTACAACATTTGACACACCCCCATAGCCTAAGTGAGGGGTGTCAAGCAAAACCAAAAGTGTGCGGTCACAAGACCAGTCACAAAGAAACAAAGCTCAGGGTGGATCACAACGTCACCACACACTCTGAGCACAAGCAACAGGGGCCACAAGGCCAGTTCGAGAGTTCACAAGTGTGTATAGAAAGAGTACAAGCAAAGCAAACAGTAGACTCAAGCCTATACACGACTAGAAACTGTGTCAACAAGGCCTAACTGCACACAACACATCTGGTGGTCACAAGGCGGAAGCGCCTTGGTGAAGATGTCTGCAGTGTTGGCCTCGGACTCCACAAACTCGAAGCGAGCCTGTCCACGTCTTTGCAACTCTCGCAGAAGAAAGTACCTGACGTTATTGTGCTTCACTCTGCTCTCCAGTCGCGGCTCTCGACAAAGGAGAATCGACGCCTTGTTGTCAGTGAACAAGGTCGGTGCAGAGCTCGGCCGCTCACCAAGGTCGGCGAGCAAGAAGGTCAACCAACACAGCTCCTGTGCCGCCATGGCACCAGCGTAGATCTCAGCCTCAGCTGTAGAGGTCGAGACCGAAGAGGAGCGCGTGGACCGCCACGAAACAACTCCAGAACCCAAGCTGAAACAGCACCCTTGAGTAGACCTATGAGTCTCAGCGTCGTCAGCGTAAGAAGAGTCACAGTGACCAGTAAGTACGACAGGCTACTGCCCTCCAAGAACTAACCCCACGCCTGATGTCGTCGCTAGGTACTTCGCCACCCTCACAGCTGCCGTCTAGTGAACAGGACGGTGTCTCCCTGGCGCAACAAAGCGAGCAAGGATGCTGAGAGGGAAGACGAGGTCCGGGCGAGTGCAAGTCATCAGGTACATGAGGCAGCCCACCAGCTCTGCGTAGGGACCACTAGACTCAAACGGCTCGTCAAGAAAGGGTCCAGTAAGTCTGTGGTCAACAGCAAGAGGTGTGCGCTGTACTGTGGAGTGCTGAAGCTCGAACCGCAGAAGGACCTGCTGCACCATGTGTGACTGTGAGAGTGTAATGGTGCGGGCAGCTCTGTCCCTGGTGATCTGCAGGCCAAGGTAGTGGCGCAGCTCACCAAGGTCAGTGCACGTGTGTCTCTTCTGCAGTTCGGACTTCACGTCTGCCAAGGCAACCCTGTCAGCAGTGGCGAAAACCAGGTCGTCGACGTAGACCAGAACAAAGAACGGTGTGGAGCCACGACGAACGAACAGCGACGGGTCGGCAGAAGACGGCTGGAACCCAAGGTCAGAGAGGGTAGAACGAAGAGTGTCGTGCCACTCACGAGGAGCCTGATGAAGACCGTAGACAGGTCGCCTCAGCCTCCACTGGGTCCTAGGAGGGAAAGTGTCAGTGAAGGCAGAGGGACGACGTAGCCAGACCTCCTCGTGTAAGCTACACTGGAGGAAAGCAGTGGAGAAGTCGAGAGAGTGTAACTCGTAGTCTCTCCGTGCTGCTACGTGTAGTAACACCCGAAGAGTGGTCATCTTCGGGGTAGGCGCGAAGGTCTGAAAGAAGTCAACTCCCTCGCGCTGACTGAAACCTCTAGCCACGTAGCGCGCCTTGAATACCGGAGGAGATCCCGGTGGCCGCTTCACCCTGTAGATCCACATGCCATCAACTACGTTCGCCCCAGGGGGGGGAACCGCGTCGACGTAGGTGCCTGTGGATCTGTAGGAGGCCATCTCTGCGTCCATGGCAGCTCTCCACTGAGAGGCCCAAGGCCCTGACAGTGCCTCAGCGTAAGTGCGAGGAGTCGGTATGTCAGGGGCGTCGGGGTCTCCCTCAGGGGCGAGCAGCATGGCGCAGAGATGTGGGGAAGCGGCTGCCAGGAACTCTAGCTCAAACTGCCTGTCCTCTAGGGCGTCCGAGCCAAGGGCAGACTCACCCCCGACGGCCAGAGGACTGGTAGGAGGAGCAGCCACAAGACCAGTGGCGTAGTCAAGGCGGCGAGTGGAGGCAAACTCAGTGACTGCGGCAGTAAGGGCGGAGACAGAGGAGACAGAGGCACGAGGGTCGGTAACAAGAGAGGCGAGAACACGAGAGAGAACAGGACGGTACGTGCGGTAGTAGTCAGTGACAGGAGTAGAGAGAGAAGCAGTGAAGGCCGACTCAAGAGGAGACGGAAGGAGAGACGGAGACGAACGAGGCGGACTAGAACAAAAGAGGGCAGTATGAAGGTCAGTAACGAGAACAGGAGACGAGGGACGAGCACGAGGGGAGCGACGAGAGGCCCAAGTCTGAGGAGGAGGGGACAACGGAGGCTGAGAACGAGGGCAAACAGCCGGGGAGGGGTCAGGAGGAGGAAGCGGAGGACCCGAGACGGGAGGAGAGGGGGAGGAGGAAGGAGAGCGGGAGGGGAGACCGAGGGCCCGAAGATTGGAGACAGGAGGAGGAGGCGGCGGCTGCTGCTGCTGCTGCGGCGGCGGCGGCGGCGACGGCTGCTGCTGCTGCTGCGGCGGCTGCTGCTGCTCCTCCTTGTGAGGATCTAGGATCGAGCTCAGAAAAGAGAATTGTAATTCAATGATCCACCTGGGTACAACACGAGGCTATATATAGTCTCGACACAAGGCCAGTTACTATCAGAATCCTAGCGTGAGTTTGGCTTAGGAGCCATAGTTTAGGAGCCTTGGTAGTTGAGTTCGAGTTTAGGAAAAGTATCGAGAGGTTTGGAAGGAGAGGAATGGGGTTTCACTAGCAAGAGTTGGGATACAAGTACAACACCCTAAATTGGGTTGTACTCATTACAGAGTACCCCACTGCAGGCTAGACAGCAAATACATTCTGACACACCCCCATAGCCAAAGTGGGGTGTAATCAGCACAATGAGCAAGCATAGAGCAAGAGTTCACAATAGGTAAGTAAGGCTAGAGCTAATCACAGAGGGCAAGTGAGGAGGAGGAGAGACTGTGGGGGAGAGAAGATGGGAGGCGACTGCTGACGCTGCAGACACACAGACGAGCTGCTGGCTCAGTGGCTACCGGAACAGCGCTCCGGACTACTGGGGTAACTGGCCCCGCGGCTAAAAGTAGCGGCAGACGAGCTACGGACCCACGGGCGACTGGCGACTACCGGAGATTGTAGCCTCCGGACTGCTGCTGCTGCTGACGACAAGACTGCTGCCTCCACTCGACCTCCCCAGCTGCCTAACGCCCTTCTCACACACCCCCTGCTCAAACCCTAGCCCTACACCCACAGCACCCCCTTAAACCCTAAACCCCAGACTCCCACACATCCACCCCCCTCAGCGAGAGCTGCAGCAGTGGGAGACGAAGGAGGAGGAGGAGGAGGGAACGGCACGCACAACCGACACCCCCACAACCATCACCCCCACACCCACCCCCCCACGGCTGCACCGGGTCCAGGAGCGGCTGCTGCAGGGGCCAGGGGCGGCTGCTGCTGGGGCGGCTGCTCCAGGGGCTGCTACTGCTGGGGCGGCTGCTCCAGGGGCTGCTGCTGCTGAGGCGGCTGCTCCAGGGGCTGCTGCTGCTGGGGCGGCTGCTCCAGGGGCTGCTGCTGCTGGGGCGGCTGCTCCAGGGGCAGCTGCTGCTGGGGCGGCTGCTCCAGGGGCTGCTGCTGCTGGGGCGGCTGCTGCTGGGGCGGCTGCTCCAGGGGCTGCTGCTGCTGGGGCGGCTGCTCCAGGTGCCGCTGCTGCTGGGGCGGCTGCTCTAGGGGCTGCTG